TTTAAACTGAAATTTTACGTAAGAGTTCTTCCTATGTAAAGAGTTCTTCTACTTTAATATAAACCCATCATTCTTTTTGAAGCAGGTGCTTCAATAAGATAAACAGATTAAAAGATCCGGCAGAAGAAATAAAGCCATTAGCAGCCTGCACTCATTTCCTTGACTTTTAGAGAGGAGTACGTTGAATTAACATTTCTCATGTTCTATCTGAAAAGCTCATTTGTTCAGGTAGTTAGGAACATCTCAGGAAAAGTCAACCTACAGAAACAATCAGCAAAGCAAACCCAGAGTAAAACTGTCTTGCAGTTGGACCTTAATTTGTATTAGCATTAAAGGTTTAAAAAAAAAAAGAAAAAAAAAAAAAGAAAGAAACAACAAAGTGAATAACTTTTTTCGATTGCCTGAGCATGATTCCTGACTGCCTTGGCAATAACAGACAGCGTACACATGACCATGCTCCATCCTGTCCCCGCTCTGCTCTGTTTCCACATGGGTGGTTGCTTCTGGACAGTATCTCTACAACTATCATAATAAATATTTGCCACTACAAAACTATGAAAATACACAAATCCTACATACTTGCATCCAATAATATCATATCCTTCTTCTGAAGGACAACCACCCTGATGAAAACTGAGGACAGAACGAATGACATAACCACCTTCCTCCTGATTTCTGGCAAGTCCCACGGCCCCCTGCTTTCATGGCTTACAAAGTGACACATGGTCACCACAAGCAACTGTTCAACTCCGATTTAAGTAGCTTCAGGCTGATCATAAAGACAAACACAGAGACTCATCGAACATCCTCAAAATTTGTCTTGAGGCATGCCTCAACTACTAGCCCAGGAAGCTGATGGCCTGCTACATACCAAACAGTATTTGTGAGTCACGTGAGCTAAGCCTGCTGTTCTCAGAAGAGCAGCATGTTTCTCCCCTCATGTTTAGTGGCTAGGGATGTGTTGTTTCCAGTGTTAATTTTCAGCTGAATCACGTGGCTGAGCTGGTGGTGCAAGGGATGAGGCAGGATTGCGCGGTGAGGATGTAAGGGGATGGTCTGCACTGCCTTTGGTGTCAGCAGCCCACCTTTGAACAGTTTAAGCTACATGTGAAGCAGAAAGACGGAGCAGAGAGCGCGAGTGGTTGAGTGGTACTAACAGACAGAACAGCACCCACTGGCCAGTAACAGCTGCTGTGGACAGATCACAAGGAAAGCCTTAGCGAATAACCTGGGCAGAGCATATGATGCTTATCTCCATAAGCTGAAGTTGAATGCTGAAGTTGAATTTGTTTCTCTTAAGCTTAATTATCTGAAAGGTCTGTGGCAGTCATCAACCTAAAATTGTCATCATTCATACCCCCTATTAAACACATTTCTTAGGACAGGCTCACTCACCTTTTGCAGGTACTTGCTTCTCTACAAGGCTACAGAAATAGCTTACACTATAGGAGTAACTTACTTAGGTGCCCAATAGGTGCTAAAGGTAGGAAATGTTAATTCCATACTCGTGTGATGGCCTTATTCTTCTAGGGAGTACAGCCTAATTCTTTTCAGAAGAGATCCTTGTATGTAGGTTCAGACCCCTCAAGAAAATGCTGTGTACGATGACGGCAGTAAGCGCTAGAGAAGTCAGCAAGGCGAGGTTGCTGTGCGCAGCGTACAAGACTGCCTTTTGTCCTGTGCCCTGTGTCCTGCACACAGTGGCCTCTTTCCTGCTACCAGACTGACAGAGTTCTGCTTGGACTGACCTTTCAACACTGAAGGTAAGGGCGAGGGGACAGAATGAGGACCGCTGCCAAAGGCCAACCCACACCATTCCCAGACTGGTGATTTTAGGGTCAAAGGAACAGCCAGCAGGTTCAGAATGAAGGGTGCTACACCTTATTGAACCACACAAACAAAACTAAAGGCTGCATAAAGAAGGTTCAAACTGGTGAGAGACGAAGTCAGTCAGCATGTTGTTATGCAAAAAACTGAGTATGCACAGATAGCTTTCATCAAGGGTCTCTGTCTTCAGATACTGCCATGAAGGAAAGAGGTATCTTTCTATGTCAGTCATGCCCTTCGTGGTCAGAAAACCAATACAGCAATCCCAAACGCATATGTAAGGTGCCTGACTTCCAGAAACAGTGTATTTTCCTACTAGTGGAGGAATGGATGTAGGCCAAGGCTCTGCCAACCATCTTCTATGGGTCCTGCCAGGATACACGTGCAGGATACGATGGAAGATGCTCTGGGATGCACTTCTGCTGGGGCAGCTGCACCGAGCATTTGTGAAGAGCAAGGAACCAAAGCTTGGTCCAGCCCCTGCAGCAAATCATTTTGGTGAGGTAGCTGGCATACTCCAGCAGCTTTCGCATTTCTTGGACTACCACCCTCTTCTAACAATACTGTACACTCAGACATCCTCATTTTTGCCGATACCAGAAAAAAATGTCTGATAATATTGAGTCAGTGCTCCACTTTTCTCCCAAACAGCATTAACAGGATATAGTTTCCCTAAAATTATAATAAAGTTCTTCATACTTAGCCTATTTGGAAAATTATCAGAATTAAATGAAATCATAATAAATAATATTCACAGTATATTAACAATATGATTTTCACATTAAATTCCAGCTTTATTAACAGGCTAAAACCTGTATTTTAACTAATATTTTTTTACATCATATATATATATATATAAAATCTATGATGTAAAAAAGAGCATTCATTCTAGTTTCATAATCTTAAAAACATACAAGGAAAAAATAACAAGAACTACAAGTTCCACACTTCAAAATCACTGCCTACCTCAAGAACTTGAGGAAACTACATTGTTTCAAAGCATGTCCTAAGGTCATTATAGACCAAAAAGGAAAGTGAATTGCACATTCCGAGGTATCACAAAAAGTGCCAGGTTGGCAGCCCCTCCGCTTTTAAACTAAGGAGGCTCCAGCTTAAGTGTCTTCACCGATCTCAATGTCAAGCAGTCCTCTGTGTATTTTTAATTCTGCAAAGGATAATAGTAATTAATTTTAAAACAACCTCTAAGACAGATGAAACAGAACTATGATGTGTAGCAGTAAAGCAGATTAATGACTGGGTATCAAAGAGAAGGCAAAATGGTAATGTTGTTTATTGCCAATGTATGTTTCAATATAATTTATGAGATCTGAGTATTTGGAAAAGGCATAAATTACACATTATGGGAATCACAGGGAAAAAATACTTGTTTTTCCTTAGCATATTCTTGGCTAACAAACAAATAGAAGATGCTCTGCTAGTATACTGCTCTCTCCGACACACTAATTCTGCAAACAGTTTCCTGGTTTCCTGGTTTAAAGCAATAAAAGATTTTCACATTCCTTTCCTTCAAAATATTCACTCCTGCAGGTCAGGACACCTCATCAGCAGTAAAAGCATTGTCTATTTTTCCCCATTGTGGCCTTGTCAATCTCAAATATATTAGCATGCTCCTGTGATTTCTTTTATATTCCTAAGTGTTTGAAGTTGCTTAATAAAATTCACTTAGATATTTTTAAACCAAGTAATATAAAAACATACATTACAAACTCTTCCAGGAAGAGAGTGTGCCAGTGATCTTCAGTTTTACACATTTTATTCTAGTAAATGAACCATGTCTGTAGCACTACATGTTTAATATACATTAACTTAAAAAAGGTTGAACAACTCACAATTCAAGCTGTGTTTACTGATCTTTTTACAACAAATAGCAAATTTACTGAACCAGTGCATTGCATGAATTCTGAATACAGTCTGTAAAGGCTAAAAAGACTGTAAAATCGTGACAGATTTGGGATGGTTGGGAAGGACTGAGAGACTCATTTCTAATCTACCAGAGAGATTTCAAATAGTCTATGCAAATATGCAACAGTACTTTTTAACCAGTGATATATCAAAATTGATGATGTATAAAAGTATATTGTTTTCAGGATAATTAAAACATGTAAGAAGCGATAAAAGATATCAACCAGACTTAAATTCCAGTGTGTGAAAAAGACAATTCTATTCAGAACAGAATTAAAAAGAAAACATATCCAAAAATAACACTAATAAAAGGTCTGAAGACGTCTCACCCCTCCCACAAATGCAGGAAAAATAATGTGTTTCAATATATAATTTTTTTAAATCAATGAACAAGTCAATCCATCTCTCATCTTTCTTAAACTTCATTGCTGAGATGGAAAAGGTCCTAAATTCAGCCTACCCTGTAATTCACCAATCTAGGGGATAAGACTTTTCTTGCAGCAAAATCTATTTTTCTAGTACCTCCCATTATGAAATTCTACCTTATATTACTTAGCACCATTTGCCTCTTTAGATGTTACTACAGCTCAATTTGTACATGCAAGGCATCATTTCCAGTATGCCTACCTCATTTAACATGGGATTTACTCCTATGGAACACTCCAGTGTTTTGTCTAATTTAGTTGTTAATGTTCTAAACAAGTCCATTTTCAAGAGCACTTCCTTTAAAACAGTCTTCTTCCACCTACTTTCTCCTGCCATCAGTGTATTTTTCTCCCAGTCCAGTGTGATTTTTTTCTTATATATTCCAGCCCTCTGGGTTTTCCCTCACTGTCACTGAAAATAGCCTGTCCCCCTTCTTGATGTTTGTATGATTCAGGCACCTACATTCACCAAACTATCCTATAGCTTCCTTCTCTTATTAGGTGCTACTCACTGAGCCTGTACTCTGTGTTTACCATTTTACCTCTTACATCCTGTTATTAGTCTTGTTAACAACCCAGCTTAACCAGGCTGGGGCCTAGATCGTGCTGTTAAAAGACTGCAGCAAGGCCTCTCTCGGAGCGTTCATGGTACAGTATTGAGCACATAGTAAGTTTCTAAATGCAGGCACTTCTAAATATGTTGCTTGATAGTAAACCTCAAAACAAGGGCTGCTCTCTGTGGCAAGGAGCGCCCCAATCTAGAGAGAGACATATGGAGGGCTTGCGACCCCACCCTCTGCATAAAGTGCCGACTACACAAATGACATGGCGCAAGGCTGTAAGAGCAGCCTGGCTGCCATAGCAGCCGAGAGCAAGGAGCCGGCCTGCCCTGGCCCAGAGCCGGCGTGGCGCCGGGCCCTCAGGGCGCGGTCTGCAATCCCTGCCCAGACAGCGACCAGCCTCAGGCGGCCTCCCGGGCTGCGCCACACG